GTTACTTGGAGTATTTATGTTTTACAAAAAAATCTTCCGCTGGACCAACGTCGCCGTTTAATCTTTAAGAATCGAAGCAAACTGTGGTGGAAAAAGTAGGCCTACTTTGTCACATATTTTGCTCAGAACTGAAAAAACCTAAACAATACAGCCCCTAGCCTGACATTAATTCTTCCTTTACCATGAAAAACTCGAAATGTAAGTAATTGCTGAAGCATTTGAAAATTCCTATAGTGCAAGCTCTTGGAAAATTCCCCAAATCCCACAAACCTTGGCAGAGTAATCTCCCATAAAATCAGCAATCCAAAGTTATTTAAACACGGTGTGACAACTAAACCTAAACCATTCATAAGAGAGAGAAGCTGGCTAGATCTGCGATGGCATCGGTCCTGGTGGAGATAGGTGTTCATGCATGTTTCTAATAGTCATGCATGCATCGACCGCTCTCCGTTGGTGCATGGACATGTGGTTGTGGGCCAGCTGCAAGTGTTTCTTTGTGGATGCTTTGTTTTTGAGTCTGTGAGATTATATACCATAATTTGCATGATTCACTCTGCCAAACACAAATCTCTGACTACTTTTTATCCTTCATTTCTGCCATAAAGGAAAGAAATTCTACTCAACCTATTGAGTGAATTAAGGTCAGGAGCAATTCTCAAAGTTTTCCAAGAAACAAGACTAATGGCCATGTGTTGAAGCTGGCAATCGGAACACACACAGGAAGAATGTACTGTAGCTTTAGGCATGTTCACCAGCAACTGCATGAACAGACGCAAGCGGTGCTGTGCGGCGCGCGAGTACAATCGAAAGATCAAGAAAACTATAATGGTTCATCGTCGGTGGAATAATGCCACTTTTATGGAGAATTTTAACCCTGAAGGACTGAGGAGTGTTAGGGCTAAGGAAATAAATATTTCTTTTGTATGTTTTTGGCACCATGAAAATAAAGGTACATACATTAAGTTTCTTTCTTGTCAAATACACATTTTAAAACTCACGGTAACTGAAAAAACTAAAATATTGAAAGCCGGCAGGCTACATAGGTTAATAATCTATGTAGGTTAATAATCTGTATTTTCTCTGTCTATTGCTGCACATGCATGAATGTTAGCCTATTTGTGATCAGTTTGTGATCTCCAAAAAATGTATTGCTAGAAAAATTTATCAAATATTTCAATCTTTCGTGTTTCTGATGCAATAAAAGAGGATAATATTTAATGACACATACAAGTGTTTAGGAAACAACTTACAAGTGCATTGTGCACGTAATCTCGGGTATGTTGAACATGGCATTCACACACATTATGTAAAAATTGCAATCGATTCCGAGTGGAATCGCAATTTCCTGGATGGAATCGGAATCAATTAAAAAAATGCTAGCGCCTAACACTATTCTCTTGATCAAATTAATTCTACTTCATTATGTTGAGGCAGTGCAAATGGCATTCTTGAGCAGTTCGGTTGATTCGAAAAAATATTGGGCTGACTGAGCAAAGAACAACACAAGGTCTAACCCACGACCTTCACTCATGGCATCCTTCACAATCAGCCATGCACTTTTGCCATTCATCCTCAATCCTCCAAAATCCTCCAAAACTGCCTAAAGGATTGTGGAAGATTGATGAAGGTTAGGGTTAATCAAATTCAACTCGATTTCCCAAATAAATTATATGGTTTCTAGTTCAACATGTTTATATTTAGTAAATAACTGCATTACTTTTCGTGGCAAATACACATGCAAATTAATTTATTTAAATAAGCACAAGAAATTGTATTTTCTGTGTCTATTGCTACACATGCATGAATGTTAGCCTATTTGTGATCAGTTTGTGATCTTCAAAAAATGTTTTGCTAGAAAAATTTATCAAATATTTCAATATTTGTTTCAATTCATGGTAATTGTAGAGCGTACAAAACAAAAACATGGGAAATACAAAATCCCCAATCAACAGCCATTGCAGATGACATTCCTGATGTGCTTCCATAGACTGCAAATAGTTCATGTGTCTGCTTTTACAAGATGACTTCTTGTGTTTTATGTAGTGAGCTGAACCTACAAACTCACCTCTTCCAGACTCATACATGTGAGTATTTCTTCCTCAGCAAGGGCCAGTTTATTAGGTCTTTCACTGTGTTTACTACCATGAAGAATCTTGTACACTTCTTGTTCCAAAGGACTGCTTGGCTGGTAAGAGTGGTAGGACATGTAAGAAAACAATCACAAAAAACTGTTTTAAAATCACTTCTGTTTGGTATTAATATTAGACCATCCTTTAGGGAGTGAGAACCATTACAATTTCTGTTCACTTTTTTCTTCTTATACTCTTTTTTTGGTAAAAATAAACAGAAACAAGCTGAACAAGCAACAGACACTTCAACCTGTCTACCAGGAAGCCTAATTTTGTAGAATTTGCACTTTTATTAAAAAAAGTCAAAGAATTCTGATGTACGTGTACTTGAACTGCCAGCATGGCCAGAGACAAGCTAGGATATGAAAAAAAGAAACATGTTCCCTTGCTCATTTTTTGGCAAATGATGTGAGGTGCATAAAGGCATCTCTCCCCAAAGCCAAGGGGATTTTCTATTCTATAAAGAAAATACCTTCAATACCTACATGTATGAATGCATTTCCAAATGCGCAAGCGTAAGTGCTGAAACATGACGTCACATGGCGTCCTATGCAGCTTGCCCCCTTTTTTCAAACAATATGGGGGATGGTATCGAAAGTGAATATTTTCTTCAGAGAATGGTAAATTCCTTTGATTTGGGGAGATTCTACAGTATATCAAAAAAGTCCCACTTTAACCCCTTGACGGGAATTTTTTTCCGAAGGCCGACTCCAAGAATTCTAGCCTCACTCGGCCACGAAGGCCACCTGCCAAACTGCAAATACTAGGTTTGTGGCCCTGCGTGCTCTGTACGCTTTGAATTACACAGTGAAAATGCCCATTGTTTGGTGGCATGCAGCTCTACTCACACTTCCACATTCCCGTTGCCTCTTTTCAAAGTGGGGAC